ACAGATCGGGGCCAGGCAGCAAAGGATTGGGGGGGGGGTCTGCGATGGAGGGGGGATACCAGCTCCCCAGCGATCAAAGAGGTCCCGACTGATCCAAGATCGATGCGCGACTCTTCCCATGGATCAGGGCAGTAGATCCCCAGGGCATCGGGGTTGCTGTGTAGGTCCCCAGGTGGACTGAGGACCTACAAGGGATCCAGGAGGGTCAGCAATGGAGGAGTAGAGCACCATGGAGCTCGGACACCACAGGTTCCCCCAGGATTTGGGATCAACAGGTAGATCCCAATGCAGATGAGGGCCAGGAGATCCCAGAGGATCTGGGCTTGAGAAGTGTATCCCTCCATGGATGGCAGAGAGCAGATCCCCAGGGCTCTGTGGTCAACAGCTGGACCTCCACAAGGATTGAGAGGGGATCTCCAGGGATCATAGGGCGGTCCCTGCGTGGATCTGAGAGCTGGCCTGGTCCATGGGGTTTGAAGATCCCAGGAAAAAAACCCCAGCAAATCCTGAGGATCCAGTAGCAACCAAGGACTGGAAAACCTGGGTGACAGCAACTCCCTCAGAGGAAGGATCAGTGGATCCCCAAAGACACCAAAAGAACCCAAGGCAGAGACGTGGACTGCGGTCAAGTGGCTCCCAAAGCTCCAGCAGTGGCCAAGGACCTCTGGGTTGGGGAAGAACTGGATCAGGGCGGGACAGCAGATAGATCCCAGAGTGATCACTCAAGGAATCTAGTGACACCAGAGGATACCCCCCCAAGGAATCAGGAGGGGTGGAAGCAATTCCAGCCCCAGCCTGGGACAAGGAAGCAGTAGATCCTATGGGAGATGAGCAGTTCCTGTGAGACATCATCAGACCCCAAAGATCTGGTGGCTCCGGGTGATCCCTGAAGATCCAGGGAGCAGCAGATCCCCGAGATCCTCCACAATGCCACGGGGCAGTAACCCCCAGCAAGGCGGATCGCAGGGGAGAGCAGTAGATCCTGGGGGATCTAGCAGTGCCAGAGGAGCCCCACGGGGATGACGGAGCAGCGACCCTCAGGGACGGGAAACCAGTGGAGCCCGGGGAGGTGACCAGGGGCAGCTGATCCCAGGCTCCCCAGCGGATCCCAGGCATACCTGGGGACCTCCTGGAGGGCGGGGAGGTGACAGTCGAGGTGGTAGCAGCGCTCGCAACGGTCACACATCACCACGGCACCGGCCTGACAGCAGACGCGGCAACAGGAGACCCCGGGACCGGAGGGGGCTCCCGGGGGGGCAGATCCCAGCCCCAACGAGGATCCGGGGTGTCCCAGCACCCCGGGGTGCTCGGGAAGCAGCCCCACCGGCTTGGTGTCCTGGGTGTCCCTGATGGCCGCCTCCTGCTGCTCCTCCTGCCAGGGGGGAGAGAGGGGTGAGACAGACAGGGAGGGAGGGAGGCGGGGACGGGCAGAGGGACACCCACCTTGACGGGGAGGGGGATGGGGGGCCGCGGCTGCGCCCCCCGCTCGATGACAATGAGGCTGAAGTCCTCGGCCGAGGTGCCGGGGAAGACACGGAAGACGGGGGGCTGCGGCGCCC